TTAGAGGAAGTAAAGATGGATTTACATGTGAAACATTTCATAGATTATGCGATAATATACCTGGTACCATTACTATTATTAAAGTTAAAGGCAAAAATAAAATATTTGGTGGATATAATCCGTTAGAATGGTCATCTAAAAAGATTTGGTTAAAAACTGCTGATAGTTTTATTTTTTCATTAAAAGTACAAAATGTACCAAACTCTATCTTTAGTAGAGTTATCCATGAAAATCGTGTAATTGGATGCTTTCCACAGTATGGTCCAACTTTTTGTGGTTTGTTCTATATGCCACGTGATAATTCATGGATATATTGTCATAATACTTCATACTACGAAAAAAGTCTTGAAGATAATATTGAATGTTCAATAGATGAATTAGAAGTATTTCAAGTATTGAAACAGTAATGAAAATTTAAACAGGTAACAATGTGCATGGCGCACCTTGTACATTATGGAGTAATTTTATAAATACCACTAAAGGTTGGGACTAAGCATTTATATAGTGGCTTTCAGCATTATATGTTTTAGTTGATTAAATAAAACTAGCTAATTTTATTAAACTTATTTTAGTAAAATTTAATTATTTTATAATAATAATGACATTACTGAACGAGTGCTTTTTTAAAATATTTATTATAGGTTCCAATTCTAAATGCTTATTTTCATACCTTAGGGATAAAAAGCTTATAATATTATTTCTTTCAATGTTAAATGCCAAAGAACAAGCTCTATTTATTACGGCGCATTTGAGTATTTTTAAGTATTTACTAGACTATTTTTTATTTTGACTTTGCAGTAAGAAAATGTCAAATAAAAAATAGTCTAATCAATACTTAAAAATACTCAAATGTAATTCCTTTTAATATAAATTATACAAAATCTCTATTTGAATATACAAATTTACATTATAACTTTTGGATTTAGTGGCTTATATAAACAAATAAAAAAAAAAATGGATTTGTTATAAACAATTTAATTTAAGTTCTGAGCTTCAAAACTTTATTAAAAGTTTATTAATCACAAAGTTTCTAAGAACAAGTAAAATTTATTCCTTTACAATCATTCCTTTTAAAACTAAATATTTAACGAAATAAATATTTGTAAAGATTCTTTACAAAAACATTACTCTGACTTTTTTAAAAGTCATAAACTTGATTTTGAGCTTTTTGCACAAACACTACTTTGACTAATTTAAATCTTAGAGATAATTAACTTGGTTCCGTAGGAGAAAAAGCATTGGTATATGCTTTTTGCAAGAATACTATTCTGCCTACTTTATATCTTCAATCTAATCAACTTAATTTCGAATGAAAAAAAGCATTAGCAAATGCACTTTGTAAGAAGATTCTGATTACTTTAAATATTAGAGATAATCAACTTGGTTCTGACTGTGGAAAAGCCTTAGCAAAAATACTATTTTGACTAGTTTACATGCTAATAGCAATCTGATGAAGAAAAATTATTAGAAAATGCTCTTTACAAGAACTCTTTTTAAATCTTATTTCAAACCAATTTGGTTCCGAGCGAAGAAAAGAATTACAAAGCTATTTTGCAAGAATACGTCTTCGTAAAAACACTACTCTAACTAGTTTATTATCCTGATAAAGAAAAGAATTAACGAATACTCTTTGTGATAACATTAACTACTTTATGTACGAAAAGGCATTAGTAATTTAATATTTTAGTAATAATAAAATATTATCTAAGGCCTTTTGCAAAAATATACATAACAGTTAACTTGTTCTAAAGAATTAAAGCATTTTGGTACTCTTTACAAGAATATTTTTAATTACTATTTTAATTTTATAATTCTTATAATTCATAAAATTTATTCTAAATTAATTTGAATCTTTTAATAATTAATTTAGTCTAAAATTTTAAATAAACATTGCAAGTAATTTATTAATAATTAAACATAGAATGTCGTAATAAACATTAAACTACGAACCGTATATTATTTCTTTCCCAAATAAACAAATATTTGACTTTTATATGTGAGAATTCAAATTTTTTCTAATAGAGCTTTAATATCATTTTCCTTCTATTTATTTTTTTTTGTTGGGCTCAAACTGAATATGTGTAGATAATAGCATGTATATAACTGATAATATGAATCTTAATATAAAAGAATTAATAATACAATATATTTAATGTACAGTACTTGTTTATAATTTGGCAAAATTGAATATTTTGCAAATTCTAGCTTCGACTATAACAAGTTTAACTTATATATTCAGTAAGTATAAATATCTAATTTAATACATGTGAAATATGGAGGGATGGTTCTGTTCAACCTTTTTGTCTGTTCTGATTTTCAAACAATCCTTTTTTTTTTTAGCAGGTATTATGAGTACGTATACTAAATTGAGAGTAATGGTTTTAGTGTGTATTAGATAATAGATATAGTAACTCGGTTAGTTTATATTATGGGCGTCTTTCTCGATGTGATTAGAGATCGTGCACAAGCATTGAAGTTATGCAATTTGTGCGAATTACGAAGTAACCCTGAAAAAATGTTGATTGTAACTCTACATTTTATTCATAAAATAACAACACTTTTAATTTGTTAATTTATATTCCAACTAATTAAAATTTTACCTTAGATCCATTGATTGAGAACGCCTTTGCTTCAAATTATTTCTGAAATTATCCAAAAATTTGACCTCATATTTTAAATCATTATTTCCACGTGAATTTTCGGGACTGCGGCATAAAATTTTGATACGTAGTTACTTGGAAAAGCAGCAATTAACTCCAATAGTTATCGTGGTAAAGTTTAACGTTATAAGATTTATAAAAATTAGATACCGGTAATATTTTATTAGCTAGGTCCCAGACCAAGACATTGCTCTGGATGCGAAGCTTTTATATTTATTTCATATCATATTAATTCAAATATGAGCCTTTAATTTTTAATTAATTTTTAATTTGGGAAACTGCCTAATACAATTTTTGCATGTAAATTTTTATTTGCTGATGCAAAAAAAAAAATTGTGCTATTTTAGCAGTAAAATTTCATAAACTGGGTACCCTAACTATTAGTTGGTCTAAATTGTAATTTATTAAAGTTGTCTAACTTTAATTGGTACATAATTATCAGCAAAAATCAAAAGATTTAAATTTTCACATTAAATTTGATAAGCTCAAAATATGTACCAATTATATTACAATTTGTGTTTGGTAAGAGTCGCCTATTTAGCTTAAGGTTGTGATAGAATCCTCGCCAGCGTTGATTTCCTTTGTCTTGCCTTGGTTTGATGATGATGATGACGATGATGACGAAGACGAAGAAGACGACGACGAAGATGATGAGTCAGATGAATCACTAGATTCATCATCTGATTCACTGGAGGACTCTTCACATTCCCCAGTAGCTTCCTTTTTATGTTCGATATTGAACTGGTTATTTCCTAAATTATGCTTTTCTAACACATCCTTCGTCTGGCCCACATCACATGATACTTCGGATTCTGAAGAGTCAGATTCTGAGCCATCCTCACCATCATCACAACTTTCTTGTCTTATTTCATTTGTGTTCAACTGCCCATAAACCTCCATCATTAATTGTTCAACCTCCGTTAAATCATCTTTTTCCAATTTCATTATAATTCTTTCGGTCTTCTCATTATCATCAATATTTGATAAAAAATTCACCAAAAATTTTAAAATAGCTAATCTAGTTTGAACCAAATCTAATAATTTGCTAACCTTCAATCCAACTTCCCAAATATTATCATAAGATTTCCAAGATTTTGGAAGAAATTTTAATAAACAATCGATTAATTTTGTTAAACCAGGTACACCAAATTTTTTTGCTAGATAAGCGACAGCGAACAATTCATCGGTCGTTCTTGGCTGAACTGACCATCCGTAACTAAAAAAAAAAAAAACATCATTTTATTAAATTATAACTATACGAATCGAAATAAAATAAAA